AGGGCGCGGTTCTCGCGCGTCACAAGAAGATCTACAGACATGAGTGTGAGTCCTGAGCTGGGGACGTGTAGCACGTTGTGCAGCCGGACAGAGTGTCCGTCGCGCGTCCACTGGTGCAACTCCCCTGTTCCCACGACATCGGCCAGCTGGTTATTGCCCCACTTAATCTGCTGTGGCGCGCCAGCGGGGACGTAGTCATTTAGCAGGGAGCGGTCACCCGTGAGATGGTGCAGGGAGCCAGAGTCGAGGACGACCCGTGAGCTGCTGCAACTGCACCGACGCCCCCAGCACCCGCGGTGGCAGCACCGCCAGCAGTAACACCGGCGGAACACGACAGCAACGGCAAAGGGCAACTGGACAACGGGAGTCCCGGCGCCACCGAATGCTCAGTCGCCAAACTCGTGGCAGCACAGCGCCTGCACCGCCAGTACGGCCACCTTGGTTACAGCGCGCTGCAGCAGTTGGCCGGGATTTAGCAGGGAGCGGTCACCCGTGAGATGGTGCAGGGAGCCAGAGTCGAGGACGACCCGTGAGCTGCTGCCACTGCCGCCGACGCCCCCAGCACCGTGGCACGGTTCTGGCGTAAGCTTCTTCCGCTGCTGCCTGAGCCGCCGCTGCTGCTTCCGCCTGCAGTGTCGCTGCCGTTGCGGTGGCCGTTGCCGTGTCTAACACGGCCGCGTTCACGTGCCCTGTCGCCCCCGCTGTTACTGACATTGCCGATGCCAGTGCCTCCGCCGCCACCGTCATGATGGCGGTTGTTGCTGCCACTGCTGCCGGTGCCGGCATTGCGCGGCTGCTTGAATGCGTTGCTGCGGTAGAGACCGACGGACTCGTCCGCCAGCTTAAGGGGGCATTCACGGACGTAGTGACCAGGCTGTCCACAGTAGCGGCAGATGTTGTTGGCCCCCGGCGGCGCCCGAGGCGCCGGCAGCACCGCGGACTCCACGGGCGGTGCGTCCAGGGCCAACAGCTCCAACCAGGCCGGTCTCGATTGCTCGGGCTTTTAGGTTGTTCTCCCTCTCCCGCAGCATGAACACGAGCTGCGGGGTCGTCAAGTTGAGCAGATACATCGCGAACTCGACGGTGATGGCGTACTGGAGAATGGCGTGACGCATTGCGCTCTCGTCCCACTGGCCGCCTGCCGAGATTAAATGCTACGTCGTCTCCCTATCGCCCATGCTCAGCTGCTTCTGCGGGTCCAACAGGCTCAGCCGGGCCTGTGACGCAGAACGGAACTGTTGCTGCAATAGCTGCATGGCCGCGAGAGTAGTCTGACAATTCCTGAGCAACTGCTTTACGGGCAGTTCACAGGACAGACGGAGGTAGCCGAGCGCCTGTGCGTCTTCCTCCAGGGCGTCTTGTGCGTTGCGACCCGGAGGCGCCGGGTTGGTGATGTAGCTCATTAACTTGGACGTGGCGAGGAAATCGCCGAAGTCTCCGAGCCACTGGGAGTAATTCGATCCGTCCGAGAGGAGGACGGTCTTACATCCCTTCCCCATGATGGTTGCCTAGCGAGCCTGACTGCTCTAGCTGAAGCAACTACAGATAGTAACCGCCGGGAACCGTTACCCGGGGCTCATAACCTGTTGGTGAGACGCTATCTCACTGGGACCTAGCAGACACGACTAAGAGTGATTGGCCGTTACACGTATTCGGGAGGTCCGCGATAGCCGTAAACGTGTGAATCTGAGGTGCTGTTACCGATGAACAGCAGGGCCTTATAAAGGCTTGGAGATGGACGAGCTGGCAGTACTCTAGAACCTGCCAGCCGTTGCTCACAGAAGTCTGACGGGCGGCCTTAAACAGGCCACAGCTGTTACTCACGACAGCCTGACATGATACCTAAACAGGCCACGGGGCGACACGGCATCCCTTCGCATCAACAGGGAAGACCCACACGTGGGGTTAGTGCCTCCCGCCCCTGGACACTGAAAACCGGACGACCGATCACACATGTGCCTTACACAGGGCAATGTTCAGCGGGCCACGTTTCCGTCAAAGCGAAGGTTTCTCCCACAGTGTATTACGCGAATATCTGGAAGTTTCCAACCCCTGGGTTTACCTTTCTGAGTCGAATTAGTCAGGTTTCACATGGCAGCATATCCGTATCCAAATTGTGGGTCCGACTATTTGACAGCTAACGGAACTGAAACTTAAGATGTTGAGTTGCTGTCCCGAAGACAGTCTAGGAGACTTTGGAGGGTCTATCCGAAGAGCAGCAGCAGGCGTGTCAGTCGCCAGGTCACTAGGATAGCTACCGTACGGCATCGGTTGACGGGTATTGCCCCGCCATGTACGAGCTGTGTAGCATAAACTTGAAACCTAGCATCGCGCATCGTCTATGCCAAGTTAAATATAATTATCCTTCTTGGAGGTGTCCGCAGCAGCTTGTAAATGAGCAGGTCAGGCCAGCATCTTGTATGCAATAATTTGCAGTTTTTGCGGTCAGGGCTCCAGCAGGAGCTGTCTTGTACAAGCGTTTTTTGTTATTTTTTTCAGCTCAAGATCATCCACAGTGTTCAGCAGTATCCGCAAGGGTGTTGGCACAGGCCTCGCGTTCGCTGGAGCTGGGGCTCTCCTGAGCTCCGCGCTTTTAGCCTTGACCCGTTATCGTGCGTCCCAGGTATGAGTTGATTTTATTGCGATACCTAAAATTTATGTCCTTTCCAGTGGCGGAGGGCTTCTAGGATTTACGTGACCTGTCGTTTACCGTATTGCTCTGAACACTTTTACGCCATGCGAGCCTACAGGCTCCAGCAGCGCCCCAGATGTATCCGGCGATGTCATTGAGGACGTGATCCTTTTGTTTCGTTGGGTAAAGTGTTGGGTAATACCTCACCTCCCTTTCGACTCTTCAACATACCTAAGTCAGCCTTTCTCCAAAGTTTATTGTCCCGGTGCAGAGCGGGTAATGCTGTTGGACTCGGGGCGCGGTCCAAAGTCTTTAGGCATGTTGTTGGCTGGCGAACCAGGGCCTGGAGGGGCAGGGAGCAGCTCCCTGGTAGCCGATGCCCGTCATGCGTCCCGACCGGGTCAACCAGTCCCTGGCCCCTAGCTATTGCTAGCTGCACGCGCCGCCACCGCTCCCTCTGGACTGCTACCTCCCCTCCCAGGCCGATGCCCAGCTTCCCAGCGAGTTCGTCTTGGAGATTCCCCTGGACCGCCTCCACGTGGTGGAGTCCCTCAACACCAGCCCACTGGCCTTTCTGTCGGGGGACGTCAACCAGGTGGGCCACAGCGGCGGAGTGGCCGGGTGGAGGGTGGGGTGGGAGGGAGGGAGGAAGGGAGAGATTAGGGTATCAGCTGCCCAACACAAGATCTGTTGTTGTTGGTGTTCCGAAGCCACCTGCGGGACGGGGAAGGGGGGAAAGACGAACCACGAGCGAGTGAAGCTGCTGCCAAGGAAAGAGTGCTGAGGCAGATGTAGGCAGGAAGCAGAACTGACCAGTCGGCGGTCGTGAAGAAGCAGTCCTCGGGACGAGGAGGGGGAAGGTATGGAGAGAGCTATGGCCGTATTGTGGCGGCGCTGTGCACCGCTAGGCCGGTGCGGACGCGGGAGAGGGGGCGAGCAAGAGGGGGAGTGCGCGCTGGGGAGGAGAAACGGGTAGCAGGGGTACGTAAGGGAAACCGGATCTGGCGCGGGGTTCCGGAACGCCAAGACAGACAGAGGGACAGACAGACGGACAGACCGATAGATTGACCCAAGGGGGAGAAAGGAGTGAGTTGACAATTGCTGTTGACACAGGCGCCGCGGTAATAACATCTGTGGGTTGCGTTGTAGACATCGGGGATGTGGGGGGCGGGGGAACTGGCGCCCCGGAAGCAACCCCGCCTGGGACTATACATGTGTGTGTTCAACTCCTTACGTAACCTCCAAAACTGGTAGTGCCCATCCGCCCCCTTACGAAAGCGAGAAGGCTGGATCACACTCCCTAACATCTCCCTCCACACACACACTCCATACCCCCTCACCCTTCTTAGTTCGCGGGGTCTTCCCGGGCTCCCCTCTCCCGCCTGGGAACCGGCTTCCAAAGTGCCCGTTGCCGTGTCGTACCGCACCCTATCGCACGCCACCGTACCGCCCGGCGGCTCTGCAGGTGGAGCTTCCTCAGCTGGTTTCAGCGCTGCGCAGTGCGGCCCAGGACGAGCGGTGCCGCGGCGTGGTGACGTACCTGGGTGCTCGGGAGCACCTGGGGGGGCTGGCGACCGCGCAGGTACGTGAGGTGGCGGGTGCGGGGTGGAGGGTGCGGGGTGGAGGGTGCGGGGTGGAGGGTGCGGGGTGGAGGGTGCGGGGTGGAGGGTGCGGGGTGGAGGGTGCGGGGTGGAGGGTGACTGACCGGTGTGGGGGAAGTGGCAGCAGCCAGAGGTAGCTAACCAGCCTGAGGGAAGGCCCGCAGTGACCACATCTCATTTAGGCGAGTGGCATAGCGGCTCCGTCATTTTCGGCTCTTATATCCTGGCCCCGCCTCCACCTCCACCTCACCTGCACCTCCTCCCTCCCCCTTGCCTCCTCCCTCCCACCTCCTCCACATCGATCCCGCCCTCAGGAGCTGCGTGATGCGCTGTTGGCGTTCCGCTCCGCCACCTCTGGCCGCTCAGCCCCCGTGGCCGCCTTCGCCGCCAGCTTCGGGGAGGCGGGCAGCAGCGGCATGGTGCCGTACTTGGTGGCGTCAGCTTGCGATGAGGTGTACATGCAGCCGTCGGGTGAGTAATGGGGAGCTGGGGGGGGTTGGGGGGGGAGCCACGATGAAGAAAACCCCCAGAGCTCTGAACATCCATACATCGTGATTCATCGGAGGAGGGCTGGTGGCGGTGTGTGGAGTTTCGCGGAGCTTTGAGGGGTTCATACACACGTGCTCGATGACGGTTGCGGTGGATATCTCAGCTGCTTTCTCCCGGAGTTCTGGACTTCTCCGATATCATCCTCCTCCGCCTCCTCCAGTGTTTCCTCCTCCCTTCTCGCTCATTTCCTCCCCGCACCCGCACCTGCGCCCTCAGGCCTCCTGGGCCTTACCGGGCTGGAGAGCCGCGCCTTCTTCGCCCGCGGCCTGCTGGACCGGCTCCACGCCCAGCCGCTTATCCTTGCGCGCGAGGAGTACAAGTCCGCGGCCAACTTCCTTCGGGAGCGGGG